CAGTAATGTGAGTGGCCACTTCCTTTGGCAATGAGCAGGTGTTATCGTCTGTCTGCTGGGCAACTCTCAAGTCAGGAGTCTACCCCATGATTGTCTAGGCTGTAACATTTTTTTTTTTCTAATTTAATGCCCAATTTTCTATTAGCTTCATGTAATGTTCAAATTTACTCAAAATTTGAAAGCAGATTTTCACCCGCTGTAAAGCCATAATCATCAAAAGGAACAGAACACTTGAAATATGTTGTGAATAAACCTGCATTTCTTGTGAAATATCACTTAAAAAAAATAAAAAATCTGAACTGTACTAGAGAAAATTGTGCTTTGTGAACACAGGACCTATAAGACCTAAATCAGCTTATGAAGTTGGAAATAATTCTTAAATGTCTGTGTAGTTTTATCCATAAAGGTTGTGACTTAACAAGAAGCTGTGTTCATTTTTATTACTAAAGAAGTACCCAACCAGTCTACAGTGCTTTGCATCGGCACAGTAAGCACTACATTTTGGTCTAGTCTTTTCATATCAATTTAATCCATCCAACCGACCTCCTAATCTAATCAAAGGGCCAGTGGATGACAGGTGGTCTTTTCATCAGTGCACCTAACAAGTACACACAACAATAACATGACTGCAGCCAAACAAGAGGATAACAGAGTTGTACTCTGTACAAAAAAAAAAATCATGATGAGTGGGGGAGAAAGAAAAATAATAACACTGGAGATTAAGTACTCAGAGACTGAGGCGGAAGGGTAAATGAGGTATGCGCGCAAATAAATGCAAATGTACAATAATCGTAAGTTTTTCTGTAGGATAAACCTTAGCCTGTTTTTTTTTTTTTTTTTTTAATATCTGAAGAATTTGGACATATTTAAGGATTTTTGAATCCGATCCAAATCCTTTGTTGAAATTAGATGAACCCCAGGTCTAAAAGGTGCAACTTGATCCAAGCTGTTTGTGGATTTTACTTTGTTCACAGTGACAACATAATTCAGTCAAATAAGTTATTCCATTTTTTAGACAATAGAGGATTTGTAAATTATAATGAGGGATGTAGAGTACTGTGTATTTACCCTATTAAAGATTTCTTCCATAAATGTTTCACATCATGAAAAAAAATTTATGTTAGACAAAAACAGTTGAAATCATTTAGTGCTTTTCACAGCAATGTATATAAAAGGATAATATAGTATTAAATTCACAAATTGCATAATCCTAAATTACATCAGGGAGGTGTAAGGCATCCTCTTGTACTTGACATAATCATAATCAGATTCAACTTCCAGCAAAAATTAATTTTTGGTGATCCACGCTCAGCTGTGGGTTGTTATGCCAGACAATAGATTTAATGCAGTTCATGTACATTTAGAGGTCAAACTGAAACTGTTGCATCACTATGACTGCTTTTCATTTGAGCATGAGATACTGTGCACTGTTTGTCACGTGGCATTTTCTTGACAATTTGTTCACCATGGATTAAAAAAACGGATTCAAAACATAGATAATCTATACTTCCCATACTCTTAAAGTATGTGCATTTCATATGAACAGTTAGCAATACCTTTGTCCTAAATTACTTAAATATAATTGAGTAATGGAGAATATGAATGTCACTGTTTACAATAACAAAAATAAATAACAATAATAGTGCTTATTAATTATTATTATTATTATCAAAAATAATTCTGAAGTGAAACCATTTAATGTAGAAGGAAATATTGTAATATGTTACTTAAGGATTTTGTATTCCTTGATCCAAGTGCCCCACAACAAACTGATCTGCAGCAGAGAGAAATCTGCTTCATGGATCAATATATTTCAATTGCAGAGATCCGTTTTTGTGATTAGTCAGCTAAGATTTGTCCTAGTTTTTATGCACTGCATCTCAATTAATTATTAAGCATCCATGTGTTTCAAGTTCATATAACACTGACTGACAGGTTTTTGGACCTATCATGTTGCTGGCGACTTCATTTGCTTCCTTCTTCCTCTGCCTCTATTGATCACACATAAGATATGTGGTCTGGAGGCATTAAGTAAGGATTGTTTCATTGCTGAATATTTATGTCATGGATTTGCTAATAAAGCGCAATTCCCTCACAGTGAAGAACTTGCACCACAGATCGTTTAATGCTGTGTACACCATGGTCAAGGAAGAGAGGAAAGCTAAGCCTGGACTCCTGAGAAAGGGTTTGATTAATCTCGGGAGCAGCTTTTCTGTGAGAGAGTCACAATTTTTTTTGATACAGTTTAAAAGGCATTCTAGCATTTTGAGAAAAATAAATTGTATACAATTTCTTCAAACTTTGAATGGATTTGCCCATTTGCAGGGCTAACACACAGACATGTCAGTGTCTGACAATGACAGACTAAACATTTTTCTGTTTTAGGACAGTTTGGATCATTACAACTATCTCTTTACTCTTAATGCCATCTATACACAAGTACATTTTTGTTATAGAGAGGTTCTGAGAAATCATTTGTTGACCGGAATCAGATCATGTCTTTTGGGTGCGTTCACACCAGCCCTGATTAGTATGCTTTAATCAAACTCTAGTTCGTTTGTCTAGAAGGTCCATTTAGTTTAGGAAGGGTGAATGCACAATCAAACTCGGACCAAAAGAGCAAACTCGGCCTACAAACCTAGGCCCCAGTTCGGAAATCTGGCACTGTTCAAATGCATATGTGGATGCAAGCGGACCGGAGACCGCTCCAAAGCAGGAAGCAAACTACAGTGCAGGGCATTCTAGGTCAATCGAGCCAAAATGTGCATGTCTTGCACTACAGGGACAAAATGCTTTGTGGTTTTTTACTAGAGGCAAAAGAGAAGTCCAATGATTTATATCATTTTCTGCTCTGTGGGTTAATGGGGATGGACTAATTGCCTGGTGATAGTCATAACAATCATCAAATAGGATCAAATATTTCATAAAGGAGCCATAGTTTAAATCTTAAACTAAATTTAACAGCGGCAGTTATGCAAATTTAATTATTGACCAACATAAAAGAAAAATTCACTTAGTCCTCATCTTTACAGAACCGATAGAAATCAAATTGTTTATAGATGCATGTTCTACTTATCAAAACATCAGCAATTTTCCCAGCTTTAATTTAAGCCACATTTTGTAGAACTCGGGTAAGAAATAAAGGCCCTACAACCATTTTTGTGACCGATTCCTGCTCATCCCATATCGGAACAGTTTGGTTTTGTGTACATGACTCAATGCACAGTAATGCCACCTGCAGGAGCTGAATGGAGATGTCTCATGCCACCCCACACCTGTTGCCCATATCAGAAACCGCCACTTCAGTGTAATGTGAAATCAAACCACACCAGCTGAAAATGTAGCAAATGTTGTAATTTTGCCCACCAATTGAACCGAGTCTACAGAACTATCATGTGAAAATGCACTTGGAACTCATCTGTCCTAATTGATGAGTGGCACGTCTGAAACCTAAAAAAATATATATATTTATTTGATTAGTGATATGTCTATATTCACCTTTTGTGATAAGCTGCTTAAAAGAAAACTATTTTTTATGAAATATTGACGTATTAAGGGGATCATTCAGGCTACTGAAGAGCAAGGGGGAACAAAATCTGAAGTAGGTAGTAGAAAGTTTAACAGTACAGCAAAGTTACCTTTTTCTCCATTAGAAAGATGTTGGATCTAGTAATATTAGAAGCATTTAAGTTAAGCTTACGTCAGGTGGTGAGATGTACCTCTCTTCCACTCTTTGCTTCCAAAATACCTCAGTCCACTCGGATCTCAGGACGTAAAAACATCTGGAGGTGTCTTCTGGTGTCTGATAGAATGTTGCAGCACGCAGTAAATGTTAAAGTAGCAACCACATGAGAGTCGGTAGCATGGTTTCTCAAGTATTTTACTGTGATATCACAGGCAGTATAAAGATACTTTACTCATCAGGTGTTGTAATGTTATGACAGATGAGAGCCAGAATAAGGGGTGCATTTATATGCAAGTCCCCATGTCAAGGCACAGGATTAATGACACGGAGCATTTCAGTTTCAATGAAGAATTCCAATGAATCTTATTTATCCAATAATTCCTCATGTCAGCATGTCAAAGCTCAAGGAAAAGTATGGCAAAGAACCAGTTTCTCAGTCATTTAGTTAGTTATATCTGGGTACAACAATACCTCTGAAACATGGGGAGGGAGAAGGTACCACCAAAGTAATTTCAGAGGCAAATTTCTGATTCAAATGTCAAAGTATATCTAAAAAAAAAAAACATTGCTGAAGTAGCGCCCAGTCTTTCGCAGCGCATACCAACTGCCTCCGATCACTGTAACAAGCAGGAGGCATAGATACCATTGCTTATCAAATACAAAATAAAAATATTTTAAAAATAGATCAAAATTATACTCCAGCAATACGGATTTCGAGCTGCCTAGAAAAAGTGGTGCAGATGACAGATGTTTCCATTTTCCATAAATTGTGCAGCCAAAGATGTCTGCACAGGACAGTGTAATGCCACTGGAATACTGTCAATATCTGTGCAATTAAATGAAAACAGAAACTTAAATATTGGGCCACTACACTACTTTAAAAAAAAGATCATTAACAGCCACCGGGGACCATAAAACAGCCATTGAGCCAAAGAGATATTGAAGGAAAAACAAATAAAAAGTAATATCCATCCAACGGTAATGCATAAGAGTTGTCCCCGAACATCCAAATTCTTTTACAGACTTGCATGCAGCGTATTTATGTTGTAATCAATTATTACAGCCTTACATTGGTTTGCGATGTTGGGTTCAAGTAGGGGACGCCCCCCTCTCTGACACAGAAAGAAAGATGGGTTGGATTGGGTCAACAGAGTCACCGTGCATGCTCTGAGAGAGGGCAGGCATGAGGCTGAGGAGCTGGGAATGCAGAGTTTAATATGGCTGTTCAGAGCTCTGTTTTGATTGATTTTTAAATGTTTCATTTCACTATGTTACTGTACCACAATGTACACTTATTTAGATCAAGTGCAAGATTATTAATATCATTGTTGCTATTATTTCTCCAGCACCATGGTTTTTGACTTCATCTTTCTTTTATGATCACTCCACACCAGTAGCAAACACAAAATCCTCATTCAAATGAGTTTTTGCATTATTTTTGATCAGGAGTTGTTATCCAGTCTCTTTCTTATTGCCGAATAACGAACACAGTTTGTTAGATTTTCTAGGTTCTTTTCTAAAATTAAGGATAGACCATAAACCAATCTTATCTTTACAAATGAAATTAGATGTTATTTCCATAGTTCATCGATTCAAAGGCTAATTTAAAGGCCCATTGCCTTGATAGTCTATTAAAAAGCTCAATCTTTAACCCAAAAAATAGGAAGAAGCTTAAGAACGTCAGCTAAATACACAACAGAAAATGTGTTTAAGTGAAAGCTTCATTTGACAAATTCTATCTTGATTCTTGTAGTTTAATTTGTTAGGGCCTCGTCATGCCAAAGACATTTTTTTGGCTTTAAAAGTGTAGCTTTGCTCTTTAAAACAGGTAATCGAAAACACAACATTTGTGACCTCATAGCTCAGTTCCATACCTAACCTTCTGTGCCATTATACTCCTATAACCCAAATAAACTCTGCTGAACTACCACCACCTCTACATTTACTAGAGGTCATATAAGAATAGATAATCTGAACAAAATAAAAGCTTTATCCTAAACAATAAGGATGTCACACAGATGATGTGAAAAAGTGTATTTCATTCTTATTTAAGTTCATAAAAAAAAAGAAAAATATCTAAATTTACTGAATAAAAATGGAAGAAAAGGGAAAATAACTCACTCTCATTGGCGACGCATTAGGATGATGGACAGCCAGTCTTTTTTTTTGAGCTAAATAGAAAGTGACATTTTTGTTTATTTCTCCCAGGCCTGCATGTCTACTGTTCAGACACAGAAAGGTTTGGAACGCCAGCATTTGTGAACGTAAGCGCGTGTGTCTGTGCCTGTGCATAAGTGTGTGTTCAGCAAGTAAGCAGCATCAATTTGTATTTTAAAATTAGTAAATCACCCAGTTGTCTTTCAGGGAAGGACATCCACTCAATCTTTGTCAGTCAGATGATTCTCAGGAGATGCGAATCTCTGCCGCCGATGCCCCAGATTTCATTCCAATCAAGTCTGCAAAGTGGAAGAGCAGAGGTCTAAATTAATGGAATTAAAGAGTATGGTGAGATATTAGAGGGAGCTACAAGAGTGACAAGATCTTGTTTTCCTCCAGAGCGCTTTTTAACAAAAGGACACTTGTTGGGAGACACGCGATGCTCATGGCATTTTGTTAATTTACATTTCATTTAGAGTAAAATGGGAACCTCTGTGGAAATTTGTTTTGAAATCATTTTATATTTTAATTAACTTTTTTTTTTTCCTTCGTGCTCTTTACTGATAGTTCAGAGCCTCGTTTCCCAAAACTATCTTAAGGCTACAATGTTAATATAATTTGATTCAAAAGCCTTTTGAAGCATAAGAAGCATTTTCCCTAATGGATCACAACTGATGATGCTCTTACAATTAATCTTAGATTAACTATTTCCAACTAGGCCCAAAATAGAACACCGCAAGCCAAGTAGTTCAAAAAGCTGCAAGAGAAACCAAAAAAAAAAAAATAATTAAAAATTAAATGTCTTCACTCGCGCCGTACTTTTTATTTTATACCAATGCAGTTAGCTGAGTCATATATACAAAATAGGCATTTATTTATAAAAAAAACATAAAATAAAAGAGATTTACTAGCCACCCCAATTCTAAATTTAAGTATAGTTTATCCAATGACAGTAATTACATTCAGTCCTTTTACTTTTTGAATAGTGTAATATTTTCTTAAACATCTTACAAAGATCCAAGAAATCTGTGCTATTTGGCATAACTAATGTAGCTGAAAATTTGACTGAATTGGACAGATTAATGTGATAATCTAAGGTGACTGCACGGTCTTGCAGGCACAGATATGAACCAACATAATTCTGCTCAGGGTTTCAGAGTCAAACCTGGGGCTGGAGCCTTTCCCAGGAGTCACTAAGAGGTCTATATTCTATGGGAAACATACATTTAACTGGGCTATGAGTAGATAATAGAATAAATTTGCTCCATAAAAATGAATCCTCCCCAGTCTCCCTCGTGTTGTGCCCTTGCTCCTCCTCTCAGTGGTTCGTTCTGTGCTTCAGTCTTAATTGGCAGAGACCTGTGTTTGAATGCAGCCTTGGAAAGAGTTGGGAGGTGAAAGCGAGGAGGTAGGGGAGAAAAACATGAGAGACAGCGGAAGGATGCTTGCGCTTCGTTCACGCGTCACTCGCCTCAGTTTCTTCTCTCCCGAATCATATGACCTTCTTCTCCTACACAACATGGGTTTTTGGAGCTTCATAGTTACGCTGTTGCAGTGAGACAGCGCTCAGTAGTGATGGGGAGTTTGGTTCTTGTGGCACGACTTCCTAAAAAGCTCTTTTATTATAATCTGTAGCCTGATGTATTTGCTTAACTTGGCAAATAGGTTAAATTCTTTTGCATTTCTTGTTTTTCATGAGAAGCCTAAAACATGCCTAATTTTATGCATTTGTTCTGTTGCAAAAGCAGGCATTCTTACTTTTGTGTAATATTGTAATCAAACTAATGATTTTTATTTAACATGAAAAACATGAACATAAAACTCACAGAAACATAACCAAACTGACTAACAATACAATATTCTTAGTTCATGTTGGCGTAAAAGAAAAAAAAAAAAAAACAGCCTGAATGGGCTGATACGCTTTCTCCTTCTAGAATTTGACGTGTTGTTGAGAAGGCTCTCCGAATGACATTTTACTGTTGTGAGAATGTAGAAAACTCTAATTTCACATGCAGTTATTCACTGCAAGAGCAACTTCTCTGACAAATGAAAACCATACAAAATTAATAAATGCAAAAGACATGAGAAATAATCCCATGTTCAAAGGTTACCTCTGTCCAGCTTTGGGAATGATTCCCTCTGACCAGCAGTGTTACAGTCTCAATCCAAAATAATCATCCCATGTGATAAATTTCAGCAGACTTTGATAACTTTCTGGTTCTAATTGTCCCTTCCTCATTAACCTTCATCAGGAAAACAAAACCTGTCAATTATATTCATCAGTTGTCTTTTTAAAGTCAGACTTTTTGACTTTTAGGAGAAATAAATCCAGCATATAAAAACAGCAAGTCTTCTTCGAGCACCAGTTTATATGATGATTTCTAGTTGTGTATTACACTCCACATAGTTACATTTAATGCATTGTGCTTTTCTTCTTTTCTATCGCACTCAAAACATGTTGTCTCTGTGAGTCTTCATTTTCCTCCACCAAATATAGAACTGCTTTGAAAAATACAAATGCGATGTTTATCGTTTATGACGATAAACATTGTCTGGACATTGAAGATCTGTCTATTCAAGTCAAACACGTCACTAAACCAGTTAGCTCCCCAGCTGGGTTGAGCACATTGTGTTTGAGATGTCAAACAGCCACTGAATATGATGTCAGCATCAAACATACACTGCACAGATCTGCTAAAGTTCACATTTAAACAAACTAATGTGAATTTTGGCATACAAAATTTCAAAATAGGGCACCCCATAATCTGAAAAATTGATACCTAGATTTCAAAAGGTACTTCTAAAACCAAGTCTAAAATTCTTACTGGCCTTAAATTTGACAATTTTGATTCATCACCTTTTAAAATTTTTGAAACTGCAGACCCATTGTGGGTGTATGGTAACATCCTACCTATTGCTCAGAAAAAAACTTGGACAATAGATTTGTTTCATTTTCACCAAAACCAAATGCCGTCCTTGGCATGCAAAAATCTCCAGGATCCCATTAAATCCCCCAAAATTATCCCTGGCAAAGCAGGAAATAAGGCAACAGATCTAAGAGCCCCATGCAAGAATAAAATCAAAAACAGATTTGAAGGTTGGTTGATAAATAAGTCACAGATTAAACTCCTCTAAACTAGATTCCAAATTATGATCTTCAGAGCCTTTCAAGGCTAAAACTGAAGCTCCCACACAATAAACATTGATTTTGCATCAAGCAAAACTGCATCTTTGCTATTTGCATGAAGACAGAGAACACACTTCACACTTTCAAAACTGTGTATTGAAATGAAGAGCTTCTTTATGAGAGGTACATGGCCTTGCTTTTAAAAGTTGATTTGAAAAGTGCAAAGCAAAAATGCAAAACAAAGTCTGGAGATGACTGTTTTCCCTAGACTTTTTTTTTAAACCAAGATTCCAGCTGCTGTTTACTTGTGCTTCCATGCGCTGTTTGATTAGGTTTAAGCCCTTAAACCACATGCTGATGTCTAGGCAGTAAAACGTACTTAAGGAAATATCTTAGCTTTTCTCAAAATAGAACCTTCTTATGTCTGTCCCATGTTAGAAATTTCCCATCTTACTGTGTTCAAACGCCACCATATCTTTAAAAGCCACAATTGTAGTGCAGGATTAGAAGAAACCTCCAGCTGAAACAATTTGCTTGTTGGAAATCACACACACCCACGCACACACACACACACAAAGCAAAAAATAAATAAATAAATAAATAAAACATTTTTTTTCTGATCAGCAATGATAAACTGATTTCTACTTTATGCTTTCACATGACTGAGCTGTGCAACACTTAACTTTCCATTATTTATCTTTCTTTGCTGCACTTGTCCCACCTACATGCTACACCAATTGCTCTCTGTGGGATAGCCCTCTGCTGACTTTGCTGATATAAACCTAAGACATAATTATGCCTTGAAATAACGTTTAATTCTAGCTGCATGGCAAGAGCTAAAATAAGGAAACAGCAGGGTTCATGGGGAACTGAAACAACTTAAGCTGTAAATGCACTCAGAACTGGGGTTGCTGATGGATAACAAAATACGCCTACGGACACACGAGGACAAAGTTGTTTGCATCACAGAAGTAACTTGAAACTGACAAAGGTAATACTAAATAAAACATTTACTGAAAATTAATCAATGGAAATCAGACATTAAGTCTTTAAAAAAAACTAATGAAACACGCCTGGGCAAAAAATGATGGCACCACTAAAATAATTTAACAAAAGGGGACGTGTTATACCAAGATGTGTCGTTGGCATTAGAGGTGTCTTCAAGCTTATAATCAGTCAGTCTACCCATTTAAAAAAGTGACAAGTAGTCATTTTGCTGTTTTGGCGGCATGGCGTGTACAACACTGAATATGAATCACAGGAACCAAAGGAGAGAGTTGTCCTAGGAGATTAGAAAAAAAAAAAATAACGTATGCAAGTATGTTAAAGGTAAAGACCATAAGAACGTCTCCAAGCAGCTTAATGCTCCTTTGAATACAGTTACATTATTTTAAGAGAGGGATTCCAACAATTTTGACCATGTGTTTACGATAATATTCAATTACTGATCTTTATGAATGAGCTCTGTAGTGCATGCAAGTGTTTTATTATGCTGTAAAATTTCAATATGTTTTAAAGTGTGATATTTTATGAATGACACTGAATCACAGCACAATAGAAGTCTTTTTTTTTCCACAATGGGCATCGTTATGTCCTTAATATCCAAATATCTAATGCTGGATTCCAGTCTATCAGAAACTACAGCATGACACTACATGTCAATCACATGTTTATCGTAGGCTGGAGAGTAATGTTAAGCAGCTCATGAGTCAGAGTAGAACTCCTAAACAAGCCTTTGTTTCAGTAATCTGACCAAATGTTGTTTCCTTACCAAAGTGCTCAGCCTGCTTAAGTCTAAAGCTCTTTTGACTCAGTCAAATTCTCTCTGCTTCATTGCTGGCTGACTGGCTTATTTGACTTTTCCTCAATTTGAATATCATCTTCAGTGCACCGTGGAAAATAGGTTTTTACATGCAAAACAGGGCTATAAATTTGTTTGCCTTGCTCATCTAGAGGACAGGTAAAGAGCAGTGGTCAGCAGCATGCACCTCAAGAAAGCTTGTTAAGGGTCACAGGGTTTTGCATAAGTCAGGATTCTTCCTCGTAAGGGAAATGAGTACTTGTTGTTTCACATCTGATATATTAAACCTGCACCTTTCCTACCTTGTTCATTTGGTGAACTATGGATTTCACCTCATATCATATGTCAGCAGGAGAAAAGTCTAAATA